GGGGGGGGGGGGGGGGGGGCACAGGTAGGCGCGTGTTTTGTTTTATTTTGTTTTGCGCGGGGAGGGGAGTAAGAAAAAAAACGATGGCCGATAAAAAGTATGGCGGGGAGTATAGCGGTGGGTATAGTGGTGGGTACTATCCGCCTGACACGTATGCTATGAAGGGCAAGAACCTGGAGGGGACGCCGACCTATCGGATTGCGTTGGTGGTGTTCATATTTGTGGCTGCGTCGCTACTGATCGAGCATGCCTTCCATCATCTCATCCACTTCCTGGAGCACGAGCGGAAGAAGGGTCTGCACCAGGCGGTGTTGAAGGTCAAAGATGAGCTGATGCTGCTGGGGCTGCTCTCGCTCATCCTGTCCGTCTTCTCTGCCAACTTTGCCTCCTTCTGCATCAGAACGGAGAGCGACTACGCGTGGCTCCCCTGCACTCAGAAAGAGTTGGCCAAGCTGGAGGAGAAACGCCAAGATTACTGGTACAAGTATACGGTGAAGAAGATTAATAAAAGCGCTGCTGATGAGGACAAAGAGGAAATTATAAGGAGGTTCTACAGGGACCCACAGACGGGGGTGGGTGGGTGCGAGGCGCCCAACACGGAACCCTGGATCACATTCGACGCAGCCAATTACCTGCACTACCTCATCTTCGTGCTGGCAGTGGTGCTCATCGTCTACGGCTCGGCGTCCTTCCTGCTGGCGTTCATGCGCGTGCGGAGGTGGAGGATGACAGAGCTGAGGACACATGAGGACGCGCTGAAGCTGGAGGGGATGACAAATGACGAGAGGCTCAAGTTCGCCGGCATGCAGGACAGCCCATCGCTGCTGTATGGGATCGGAGGCGCTGGGGGGGGGGGTTTCAGGCGGATCCTGTTCTGGATCACCAGTTTTTTACAGATGCCCTTTCGTTCGGTTGGGGTGCGAGACTACAGCACGCTGCGGATGCTCTTCTTGATCAAACACGACCTGCCGATGGATTTCGATTTCCATTGGTACATGATGCGGTGCCTGGAGGAGGACTTCGCGGTGGTCGTGGGCGTTCCGTGGCCCTTCTGGGTCTTCCTCTGCCTGCTGCTACTCGGCGACGTCGCCGCTGCCAATCTCTTCTTCTGGTGCCAGGTGTTCGCCTTTGCCCTCGTCCTCATCGTCGGAACCAAGTGTCGGGCCATCATTCGGGTGCTCTCGCGCGAGGTGACGAAAGGCGCTGGCTATTTCACGGCGAGCGACCCGCGACCGACGGACGAACTGTTCTGGTTCCACAGACCGCGGTACCTGCTCGGGTGCCTGCACTTCGTGGTCTTCTCCAACGCGCTGGATTTGGCCGCCATCCTGTTCCACAGGTGGAAGTTCTCCAAGGTCGAGTGCTTGGACCTTGCGTTTGAAAAAAATATGCTGTGGCTCAGGATACCCATCAGTGTGCTGACGCTCTTCTTCGCCGCCTTCGTCGCGCTGCCGATGTATGCCATCGCCTCACAGATGGGATCGGAAGCGCGCTTGGCTGTACATTGCCTCGACTCGGCCAGCCGCAAGCATCATGATCTTAGCCACAGTCATGAAGACCAAGCCGATCATAACACTCGCGGGCATGTGTAACTCGCAATCGGACTGCTCAGCGGCAGAGGCTATCCATCTGTCTGTCTGTGTTTGAGCGAGTGGGTCCGTCCGTGCGAGCTTGTGTGTGTGTGTGTGTGTGTGTGTGTGTGTGTGTGTGAGAGAGAGAGAGAGAGAGAGAGAGAGAGAGAGAGAGAGAGAGAGAGAGNGAGAGAGAGAGAGAGAGAGAGAGAGAGAGAGAGAGAGAGAGAGAGAGAGAGAGAGAGAGAGAGAGAGAGAGAGAGAGGAGAAAGAAGGGGGGGAGGAAGCACACACCGTACATGGCTATGGATAAATGTGTTGGACAAGTTGGCCGTCACAATAGTACCAGGAAAGGTATTTGTAATTGTTTCCAGCCTTCATGTAGCGATCACAACATACTCAGTTACTGCCGTTGACTTCGGCGCAGACGTCACCGTTCACGTTCATGTTGACTTGGTTGTTGACAGTTGGACTGCAGATGAAGTTAACTTTGCAGAGTTGTCTAGGCATGTGTCTCTTTGTATTCATCCTGATTGGTGTCACTTCCGAGATCCCTGTGGACAGTAAGAGTGCAGTACCGAACGAGATCCCTGACAGACGAGGCTTTTTCCCAGTGGGCAGTGCCCGCGAGGCTCTCCATGCTCTCTACAGCTGCCTGTATTTTACATCAAATGCTCCTGATGGGGTGGGCGGCGTGTTATGCATGTTATGCATGTTATGCATTCTGCGTGACCGAGGCTAGACACGATCCACTCAGGGCTAGCCACAATCCACTCAGGGCAACTACCTTTTGAGTCAAACGAGAAAACCTTCAGCAAAGGCAAACCTTGGAGATCGATTTGCTACTTCAGAAAGCATGGGGTTTCTTTAATATTCTCTCTGAGTTGCATCCATGGATCTCAGTTAGCTGGATCTTCTGGAAATTTACTTTTCTTATTCTCTTAGTTACCGCCATCGGTTTCGGTTGGCAGGATCTCCTTTCTGATGTTATACAAACTTTATGGATCTTGGTCCTGCATGGAGAAGCTGGAGCAGCGCGACTGAGGAATTTCTGTCTGAAAAGGAGAGGGGAGGAGAAGGAACAGAAAGCAAAAGATTTCTAGAATTGTCATAAAAACTCGTCTGTCAGAAGAGGGCTGGCTTGCATCTCTCGGCAACAGTTGGCTAACCCAGGTAGTAAGCTACACCGAGGGTTGGCTAACCCAGGTAATAAGCTACAGACTATGTAGGCTTGCATCGCGCAGCGATGGTTGGCTAACCGAGGTAGTAAACTACAGACAATGCAGACTTTAACCCAGGTCAGAGGCTGTCTTGCAGCGCTCGGCGCGGATGTAGTAACCTACAACAGTATGCAAAGTAATTTTCTGTTTCTAGTTTGTGAGCTGTTCTTTTGGCCATCTCACCTTAAATTTGTTAAGTAAAGGTGATGCAGCAATGCTTTTGGCACACAGATGCTTCCTGTCCGGCAGGTGAGATGGCGCAGAGGATCCCTCGATAGTTAACTTTGGCGGATAGGTCTTTGGCTGAACGTTCCGTGGCTGGGCAGGAAGGGGTCCAATTTGGGACAGAACCAACATCAGACCTGCATTGGCGTTCGTGCCATTGTTGCAAAGAGGACGACAAAGGTAAGGGTAAAGCTCTTACAGTTTTTTATTTTCGAGTTCCAGTAGCACTCGAAGCTCTGTAGTCTTTCAAGCCACCTGTGCTGAGTGGCTCTACCTAAAGTCGCAGCCATGACTTGCGATGTAATGGCCTGCCTGCAGCTGCTCCTTTTTTTTGTATCCTAAAAAATATATACATGCGTGTCATCCTTGTGCAGGGACATTTTTTCTTCAGGTTAAACTCAGGTGTGTGACAGTGGTGGTTCGACTACAGACTAGCAACTTGTGCACTTCTTGGCAGCCTGGACCTCAAGCATGTCTCTATCAGCTTTGTTTAATAGTTTTTAGTACTTTTTACACCCTGGCTGTGGTGCACAGTACTGTGTGAGCACAGTGCTACAGTATCGACATTTATATACATAGAGGGAGAGAGAGGCAATGCAGGAGCTGGATTGATAGTAATCCAGTGAGTACATTCGTTGTTGGGTTAGTTGGAGGCTTGTCTGAGATGGGATGAGGAGATGTCATGAGAAGATGAGATGTGACAAGAAGATGTCATGAGGAGATTGATTTAACGTCTCTCATCCTTCGCCCTGACAAGGGAGAGCAAAGTGAAAAGGAAGACTGTAGAAATAGAGGAGGAGGAGGAGGAGGAGGGGAAAGGTAGTAAGTAGGGGAAGAGGATGTATTCTTCAATGTACCTAGACTTCCTGTGACCTCCATTGAAGGTCCACAACCTAGTTGTTAATATTCATCACTGTTGCTACTCCTGGTCTGAAGTTCAATTTCAACCCCGTTACCTCTCTCTCTCTCTCTCTCTCTCTCTCTCTGTGTGTGTGTGTGTGTGTGTGTGTGTGTGTGTGTGTGTGTGTGTGTGTGTGTGTGTGTGTACATCCATGCATATGCTTGTTGCGTCCATTTGTGAATATGTGCCCATCTGACTGTTGGTCTGTCAATTTGCCTGTTTGTCTGTCTGTCCTGGCCTGTCTGTTCACCTCTTTATCTGCCTGTGGGTTCATTCCTGGTCAAGGGTTTACAGTTGGCAGTTTGATAGCATTCCAAGTAGTTTGTGCAAAGAAACACTTTCAAGGGGTACCACCAACTTTGACGATGCTGGCGATTCTGAAGATCTTGGGCAGATTGTCGAGGTTCAACCACCTGAGTTTTTGTGGATTTGGTGTATATGTATTACTTCCTTTGCTTTCGCCCAGGCCGCCCGGATGCACGGTTGAATGTAGTTCATCATATGTTCTTTGGCCTGGGGATAGCCGAAGGTGTGCTGCTCTTGCTCAAAAACGGACCTTGCTTGCCAGGCGAACATGGGGATTGCAAATCCAGTAGCAGAGTATAGCGTGAGCTCGTATTGTCCCTAGTTTGGCGGGTAGTCTGTATGGGTGCCCCCTTACTGACCAGGCGTATGTTTTTCCAATGAGAACTCGCCAGGCTCCGATGCATGCCACCATCGGGCATCCTGAAAGGCAATGTTCTAGCGTTGCCTGTGAAGACGGGGAAGGTGTGTTAACATGTGAGTAGATTGGAGGTAGGCGGCCTGTTTGTTCCAGCGGGGTACGGGAGATGTGTCAGTCCGGGGTGGGTAGGCAGCAGTAGAGGATCTGCCATTCCAGGGCCCCTTGAGAGGCTGGCATAATCCTAGTGTATTTGGGCTAAGTAAAGGACTCCTGGACTCCACATCCTGCCGTGTTAATTAGGAATCTCCCCCCCACCTGTCCGTAGTTATTGCTTCGGTAGGGTGGGTCTTGTGGCAGGTGCGATATCCATCTTTAACCGCGTAGTTCCAGTTGTACAAGGGGGGCTTATGATTTTTACTGGGTCATTCCCATTTCAGAGGGTCACAGGGAAGAAGGGCTATGGGGATAGTTTATTGAATATGCATGTAGAAGTGGGTATATGGATATCCTTCTAGATGGCACCTATTTGTATCAACACAACTCTCTATTAACCGAGTGGGTATCAGGCTCCTTGTTGCACGCCAAGGGGCCATGGGCCCTAACGTATGTCCGTTTCTGGCTGAGGTTAGAGCGCGAGGATTGGTGCAAACTGTTAGAAGCGCACAGTTGTGTTTATGTGCTGATGTCACTCAACCACAGATTGGTTTATGTAGGGAAGACAAGTAGATCACTCCGTGAGCGTTGGACTGAACACTGCCGAGCGGTACGAGGCAACAGTAAGCAAAGAGTCCATTCCTGGTTTCGAAAAATTGACATTGATTCGTATATTCAAATTTTTGTTTAGTTCGGTAGTAACTCAGAGATTGAATGCATGGAACTGGATCTAATTAAAAGTTTGAACCCAAGGCTAAATGCCCGTGGGACCGCTAAACGTCAGAGGCCAAGAAGACCGCGTGGAAAGCGCCCTGACAAGCACTTCACACCAGTCGACATTTTGGAACCACTCCGGTTCTCATGCCCGAATGTTAAGATTGAAAATGAACCGGACCTGCTCCGAGTCTTGAAAGCGCTGAGAAAAAACAGGGTAAAAACTCCAATCACTGTGACGAACAACACCGGCGGGCGATGGATGAAAGCTTGGCGGCTGGTGTGTTTACTGTTTGGGCACAGTAAACTGAAAATCGGGAACGATAATTGGTTGCTTAAAGATGCAAAAAATGCCACCGAAGAAGGAGGAGAATTGACAATCACCTCGCTCTTCCAAACCCCTACTAAAATCGATATTAGGAAGGTTGAGGTCATCTCTATCTTGCGAGCCCCATGGAAACGGAAAGGTTTGTTCAAACTTAGCCTCTGTGAATTGCTTGAGATGGACTCCGCTGTTAAGAATATTAACTAACCGAGAGGAAGGCAAATARTTCGTGGGATCTTAACAAACGTGTGTAAGAAGAAGTTCGGCATCAATCCTCGTGCAAAAATTGTTGCGAAGATTCCTTTTTGTACCACAGTGGATAAGGGGAAAGTGGAAAGCTTTTTGAAGGATTGGATCCAGGGGAGTGTCCAGCCTGACCCGCTAGCTGACTTGTATGCGAAAAAAACTCGAACGGTTTGGTTGAAAGCCAAATCAGTTGGAGATTTGTTGCATAACCACAAAGTTTTCGCTCAACGTTGCTCCTTTGAGTGCTTGTGCGAGAACTTCGACCTGCCTAAAATTGATGGGCAAGTCGCAGTCAAACTTAGCGAGATTGCTGACTTGAACCCTTTTCTGTTCAATGCTAAGAATGTTCCTTTCCCAGGTACAATTACGTCGTATGAGACCCTAACCGAGCCTGTAATGAAGCATTGGATGTCATTCAAAAGTCGGGGGTTGTGACCGGTAAGTTCCGAATTCCACACGGTGTTGTTACGAAGAAAGGTGAAACTATGCCTCCCGGTTGTGTCCTTAGCGAGTACGTCTCTGGTGTGAAGCAAGCGTTTCTAGGGATGGTACTAGGACCTGTGGACCACAACTCTAGCGAAACATGGGTGGAGTGCCCCAAAAGATTTGAGATTGGACTGCAAAAAATGTTTCTTAAATGTGAGAATTACGAACGAGTCTCCTCGGACAAAAGTTAGATCGGGGCCTCCTCCTCACACCAGGTTTTGGTCCTCCCTTCTTAACCATGGCGGCAACAACTTCCCCCTTTCCGGATCCGTTGCCGCCTGACACACCCTCGGCCTCCAATGGTCGCTTCTCTACGGTGTCGTCATCAAAGACGACAAGGGTGTGACCTGCGCGCTTCTGGCGCCATAACACTCGCTTACCTGCACCTGCATGACCACCAGATTTCACCACAGATGCATACGATTGCTTTACCTGAGAAGTCATTTGCTCTCTCTGGAGAGCCAGATCGCGAAACTGCTTGTACTTATACTTACCGGACTTTGACTCGGCCACTAGCTGACCTCGTATGGGTTCAGGTAAGGCCCGGGCATATATACAATACCTGATCATCATGCAGATTTAAGCCTGGTACTTGCAGTAATCGGTCGACCTCACGGGACAACGCTTCCACCGACGTCCAATGTTTTTGTCCTACGCTAGTGAGCTGGTCGAAGGCCTTATCGGTCGTCGTCTTATCAAGGAAACGTTCCTTGAATTTATCTAGGAACCGTTTCAAGGTCATTGTTTCAGCCCACTTACCTATATCGTCGAATCCTGCCGCGTTGGCTTCGGCCAGGACCCACTCTTTAGCCTCCCCTCCGAGACACGACGTGGAGAAGGCGACCTGTGACTCTTCTTCTACTGGGGTCGTCCCGACGTAGGTCTGTATTTCTGCAATCCATAGTAACAAATTATCTTCCTTTTTGTTACAGAACGTGAATGGCAATTTCATCTTTACCCTTTCTTTCTTCTTCGGCTTTTCTGGCTGTGCCGTGTTCTCATTCGTCCCTTTTGGTGATCCATT